CATGCTGCGATGGTCCTTGCATCACCCAGTTTCTTCTTTATCCCCACATCGCGCTCGTCCTGTCACTGCTTGTTCATTTGCTGCTAATGCAGTTCCCACTGTTGCGGTTCCCACCGCCGCCGCTTCCACCGCTGTGGTCTCCACTGCTGCAGTTTCTACTGTTGCTGTTTCAACTCCGGGTTTCACTCCAGCAGTTTCTGCTAGGGAAGTTGCCTCTGCTGCTCGTCCTGTCACTGCTTGTTCATCTGCTGCTAATGCAGTTCCCACTGTTGCGGTTCCCACTGCCACCGCTTCCACCGCTGTGGTCTCCACTGCTGCAGTTTCTACTGCTGCTGCCGCTGTGGTCTCCACGGCTGCAGTTTCTACTGCTGCTGTTTCAACTCCGGGTTTCACTCCAGCAGTTTCTGCTACGGAAGTTGCCTCCGCTGCGGTCCCTGCTAGGGAAGTTGCCTCTGTTGCGGTTCCTACTACAACAATTGTCTCTGCTGCGGTTCCACTTTTTACCACTTCCTCTGCTTCTGTACCTCGAATTTCTCATGCTATAGTTTTACTGGTATAGCTTCCTCTACCCCAGCCCGACACTCGCGTCCTATGTTCCAACATCTTGCCGAATCCACCCCCCTTTCATCCCTTTCTGTGCTTGGCCGCAGACGGCTGCGTTCCTCCTCGCCACCCCCATCTCCTCCACGGTCTCGTTTGAGAACCGATTCTCCGGTTTCTATTCTTCCCGTTGTTCCGCCTTCATTGCTAGTGACATCTTCTGTTAGAAACATCGCCACTCCTCTTATTGTGTATCATCGTCGACGACATGCACAACGTCGCCACTTGGCTAGGGATCAGCGGCCTGCTTCTTTGTCTACCCCAATTCTCTCTGTGCCTCCTTCACGGGTTGTTGCGGTTCCGTTGTCCCATACGGATACATCCGCTCCTATGCCTCCTGCAGACAGTCCAGCTGCTTGCACACAGCCACGGCACCATGTTTTATGCCCTTCCATGTTTGTTTGTCCCCCAGCTGTGCAACAGGATACGGTCCCTGCCCAGAGTACACTCCCAACGACAGTCCCTACTCACGATGTGGCCCCGAACGCTGAGGGCCTGGGACATGATCAGCTCGGACTGCATTTAACCCCGCAAGGCATTGGTCCCTGCTCAAAGTACACTCCCAACGACAGTCCCTACTCACGATGTGGCCCCGAACGCTGAGGGCCTGGGACATGATCAGCTCAGACTGCATTTAACCCCGGAAGGCATAGACCACACCAGATATTTGCAAATGGCTGACCAGGATCATATGGATGAACCGCGTACTTGTGCCCCACCCTGTGTGGTCCCGAACGCTGAGGGACTGGAACATGATCTGCTTGGACTGCATTTAATCCCACATGGCGTAGACCCCACGAGGGATTTGCAAATGGCTGACCAGGATCATATGGATGAACCGCATACTTGTGCACCACCCTGCGCAGACCCCACGGGT